TATTTGTAAAGACAAATAATATTATTTTTAATTATACTATCATGGTTATCCTCATTTGATGTATCTCTACTGCTTCCTGCATGACTATTAATTGTTTTGAGGAGATAGAAATAAGTAAGACTAAAAAATTTTTGATGCTACTATTTTAGTAACATTTATATTGGATGATTATGATTAAATAGGTTGTCTGATGTCAACTATATATAAGTAGCATTGGCTGATTGAAAATCAATGGTGTATATCAAATAAAATTCTTTTATAAAATTATTCATTGTTTTCTATTGATAAGTATGCAAACAATCTATTATCACCCAGTTCATACATAATGTAATTTCATTATTCAATCCTTTTTAATTTTTAAATTCTATCCATATGTTTGAAACATGGATTAAATTAAATAAATCATAATGAAATGAATCAATAATAAATAATAAATTTAAAAATTTACCACGTGCATTGCACATGCAATCCAACGTGGTAAGTTTAATCTCAATCTTTCCAACTAACATGAATTAGAAAGTAAGTTTAATCTCAATCTTTCCATTTCTCAGTTAATAATGTACTTATAAGTATACTTATATGTGTATATTATAGAATTACAGTTATATAAGTGCATAAGTATAATTATAAGTATATACTGTATATTGCATCTAGTATATATAAAAGTATATTATATAAGTAAATTGTATAGCTGTATTTAATTTATTTGGGATATATTCATCTATTGTGATGTGAAGAATTCCAAAATAAATTTATAATTATAAATGATTAATTGATTATTAATAAAGAAGTTATTTTTATCATTTTAATTTCTATAATTTTTTATATTTGTAAATTATATAATTACAAGTGATTAATAATATAATTGTTTTTATCAAAATTTTGTTTATTTTTTGCTTTGTATTCTTTGTTAGACCCTAGAGGGGGGTGAATAGGGTCTTATGCTAATCTAATCCGATTTTATGCTAATTAAAATAAAGTATTCTTGCAAGATAGATATACAAGAGTTATGTGCAAGAATAAACAATATGAACAAATGGATATATCCTAGCAAAGAGATATATTATGAGATATATATAAAGGATATGAAACTAAGGGTGATATAAACATAAACAAGATAAACAATATAGTGGACAATATAAACTAAGAGCAAATGACAAAGGCGATATAAACAATAAGCATGAATGTAAAAGAACGCCAATGACAAACTCAAACAATCAATATGATCACGGAGTTCGGTCCCCACGACCTACGTCTCCGCTCCTCACCTCGAGGAGATCTCCACTATCGTCACACCCAGTTTGGAAGCCGGAACTTCTCTACACACTCGGTTTTCTAGCTAACCAAAAACTCTACACACTCGGTTTTCTAGCTAACCGAAAACTTTACAACACTCACAATGTATACATACTAACTACCACCTTAAGTGTTAGTCTCTAGCCCGTATCTCACTCAAGTGCTCGGATTTACTACCTCTCTTTAGGTTTTTACTACCGACGTCACTCCTCTTGGGACAACCCCGTCTCTCACCACACACTCCTCTTGGTGTACTAGTGTAATACAATGTGATCTCACAATTTAGGCTCACAATACAAATAAATTGTTCTCTATAATAGATGAGAACTCAATTTAGCACAACTCAATGTTACAATCTCTCACAACCCTAATTATACTATGTATGTAAATACTAAAAGCTCAAGTGGGTGTGTGTAACAATGAGAAAAATCAAATCTAAACTTAATATAAAAACTAGCTTTGATAAATGATAATTAAACAAATGAATATAAAGCTAGATATAGAGTTTAGAAAACTTCTCCAATGGATGATAAGAGAGAGGGAGATGAATTGAAGCTTTAAACACCAAAAGATTATCTCCTCAAGCTCTTGTGAAAATATCTTCACAAACCAAACTCTTAAACTCACTTAGAAACCCTTAAACAAACATATAAAACTCTTTAAAACTTTTCTCTTTTTTTGGTGGGAGAGTTGTAGCCTTGTAGGGCTGTTAATCGGTTTGAATGGTGCGGTTAATAGGTGACACCGAATACCAAACCGATCTATTTTTTTCGGTTTGGTTCGGTTTGGTTTTTTACTTATTTTTTCATAAACCAATTATGTTCGGTTTAATTCGGTTTGGTTTTTCTCTGGTTTATATCGGTTTTTTTGTTATTCTATAAAGAAAACAAGTCTAGAAAAGTAGAAAGTAGAAATGTCTCATATTACATAACCGTTTCCGAAAAGAAAAGGAAAAAAAATGAAAAAGGGCAGCCCACAATGCCACATAACAGTTTTCGAAAAGAAAAAAAAGCGATGGAAAACTAGAATAGCAGAAACATATAGATGATAAATGCCTCCATGTCCATGAGAGCTAACATTGATAGATAGCATGACCTTCTCATTTGGTTTGAGACATGACCGGAGCTATGCATAATTGATTTAATAAGCACCTATGAGAATTGATAGCACAATGACAGCATCAAATCTCAGCAGTGTCACAGTTGTCATGCTTAAATGCACAGATAGATCAGCACTTCAAGTTCAGCAGCAAGCTCCAATCCATGACCAAAAATCCAAAACCTGCAAAAACAACCTTCGTGAGACACATGATTTCACAAACAATAGTCAGAAGACCTTAGCTCATGCGCCGAAAAATTGCTTCCCAATTGAAAGAACTGTACTAATCCTGAATGGTTTCTCAAAATTAAGAAAAACTAAAACAAAACAATAGCAAAACAACCTATACATTAGAAACAAACGCTTATGAAAGCAGCACCAGATAAGCTTACATTCCCTAGGAGTCCTCGTAATGCTAAGAACACATCACAAATATCATTTGAAAAACTTCTAGAAACGAAAAAAAATGCATAGATCTTATGCGTTTAAAAAAGAACACTTAAATGATATCAGGTCATGGAATTAAATTTGTAGCAATGTTAACACGCCGGGACTAAAATAAGGAAGTAAGGTAGCATATCATTAAGGAAAAGAGTGAGCTGTATGCAAATACAACTTTTCTTCCTTCCCAAAATGTCATGGCCAAATATAAATCTATAAAGACACCTGACAGCCACATCTCTATTGAAAAACATATTCCCAAGATAAATACTATAGACAGGATAGCTAAAAAAACAAGGTAGAATATTTTTACCAAAATGAAAAACTCAGCCGACATTAGAAAAGAGTAACCTAGACTGTTTGTAGAGGTTTGCTTGATATGAGACCACAAGTTCTAAGTAGACCACAAACTACAAAAACAGTGGAGAGTGTAAGATCTATCTATGTTATTATTCAAAAAAGAAAAGCAAGAATTAAAGAAAACTTAAAATAACATTAGAGAGAAGCAGTTAAGAAGTCTGACTATTGATGCACAACAACTCAATAGTCTTGCACACTCTTGCACACTCATATAGTAGAAAGAAGCAATAAGAAGAAATGATTGACTTACCATGTTCAACAGTAGCAATAATAAACACTTTATATACATTGATAGTAAAGAACAATAAGTTGACTACTAAGGTAAACTATTTCTTCAGTGTTTTATGAACAAAGAACATTGAAAATCGAGAGCATTTATCTTGCTTAATTTAGAACCCTATTAAAGAATACTAAATGAAAGACATTAAATAGACAGCAGTCAATTAAACATATCATCACCAAATAGACAGAAGTCACTAAACATAACACCACATACCAGCAAGTCAGCAACATCAAGCTTGGAAAGCACTCATGCAGATTTTGGAGGCAACATGCTACCACTCGTAGCATCACTAGCTGAAGCTGAACAAGAAACTGAAGAAAGTATTTCCCATTCTACATGCAAACAAAATGTGAAGAGTTAATTAACATCATTATATTTCAAACAAATTTAGTGAACCAGTTCATTAGATACGAGTAGAAAACCAAAACATACCTCGCTCAACTTGTTCACACAGCTCCATATCCTCAATGGTTGGAGTTTCATGCAATGCAACATGAGTACTAGTGTGACGCCCCTGTTTTCACACATGGCTACAGTCCAAGGTGAACCCAGAGATGTCAAACCTGCCATGCACCCACACTGTGCTACAACAAGTTTCACCAATCACAGTAATATCCTCTAGTGGGATCAAATAAATGCGTAGGTACAAAACAGGCAAAGAAGTAGAACATTAATAATAGACATGATAAAGAGGATGATATCTCATAAATAAAGATCATGTCTCAACTGAAAATAAACTGAAATACATATGGAGTCTGAAATAACATACGATGTCTCAACATGAATCAAAACGGAAAGTCGAACTAAGGCACATTGCCTTTACAAAATAAAACTAAACTCTAAGTCTGAATAAAATTTAAAACTACAGTGGAGCCTCTAATAAATCTCTCGGGACGGCGACTATGCAAGAACTCCGTCATCCTGCGGCTCTCCGGAACTCCGAGCTACCTGAAAGGGTATTTTTAAAAGAAAAAGAAACAACAACAAGAACGTCAGAGCGCTACAACAAGATTACCCCCATCCGCCCTCAGGGGAAGGGCTGCTAGGATGGAGTGGAGACTCTATCTATTAAGCATAGTATACCTATATCATTTTCCCCATATCTAGCGGAATTAATATTCAGACACCTACAAAACAAGATGTAGTACGTCGAGCGAAATAATCCAAACAAGGAAACCCTCATGTATATACCATATGTCCCGAATCGTAAACATCTAAACATTAATACCAAAATAAGAATAAATAATCTAATGAAACCAATAATTAGAGATCCATAACACGAGACTGGTACGTCGAGCGAAATAATCCAAACAAGGAAACCCTCATGTATATACCATATGTCTCAAATTGTGAATCTCTAATCATTGATCCCAACTAAGAAGTAAAAAAAAGACAGTAAAATATTACCTTAGACATCTAACTAGTTATTTAACTATGGGGAAGGGTTTGGGTGAAGAAAATCTTGCCTTAGACGTTGTTCTAAGCCTCTGAAATAACCAGCAACCAAAAAGAAGTACAACCAAGTCGTTTTCCCCTTACTACACGTTGATGTTCTAAGCCTCATAAATATTTATTATTATTTATCTTAAAGTTCATTTCACAAACCACATGCTACATCCATTGTCACTTACAATGGGATCCAAATAAAACAAGCAATCAACCAACCCACCCTTGTCAAGCGATTGGCATCTGACTAAAACGAGCAACTGGCTCGCACACCAGGGGTTGAGCTCGAGGTAGTGTCAACCCTGGCAACTCTGTCATGTCCACAATCCCATGACCATTTTTGACCTTCCAATCAAAGCACTGTATCATGGAGCCAAGCATTGGTTGTATAACTTGCAACGCCAATGACGTCCCCGGACAACCTCTACGTCCGCTGCCGAATGGCAAAAAGTGGAAGTGCTGGCCTCTAACATCCACCCTCTTATCATTTTCTATAAACCTCTCTGGTTTGAACTCAAATGGCTTGGCCCAGTGATTTGGATCCCTTCCTATAGCCCATACATTGACGAATAGCCTTGTTCTTGCCGGGATATCGTAGCCATTAATCTTACAGTCCTCGGTCGATTCGCGGAGGATTACTGGGCCAGTTGGATGAAGCCTTAGTGTTTCTTTTACAATAGCTTGGAGGTATGGGAGATTTGGAATGTCAGATTCTTTGACGAGTCTGTTTATGCCAATGACCGCGTCAATTTCGTCTCTAGCCTTCTGGAGTATGGTCGGGTGGTTGATGAGTTCCGCCAATGCCCACTCTATTGTGATTGCTGAAGTATCAGTGCCTGCAACAAAGACATCCTGTGTGGCATTGAAAATTAAGTAAATCAGTTTTTGCACTTTTTGTCTTATCAAGTTTTGCCTCGGAACGTCAACATTGAGATGTTCATAGGTTTAGTGAACTTCCAAATGTTAGAAACAAATGTATCTTGGTACTCTTTTGGGATTTCAAAATATGCCAGACCTTCAGTTTTTATACATGGGAATAGTTCTATTCAAGGTTTATATTACTGCAAGTTTTAGTATATTTAATTGTTAGTGGAATAAAATGACACACTTTCAAATATTCCTACATTTTATTTGTTGGGGGCCGACACGTCCACCTCGCCGCGGAAGCGAATCACCTTGAGAGAAAGTCCTACCTTTTGTTTTCACAAAACACAAGCCAATCTCGATGTTCCTGTTTCGATGATGAAAACAAGAACAGAAGTGAATATCTCAGCAAGGTGAGATATACACTCTTCCAAATATCAGATCTAGGTCTGAATATCGAGGGAGCCAACCAACACAAGCAATAACCAATACAATAAGTGAGACACGAGATTTACGTGGTTCGGCAAATTGCCTATGTCCATGGAGAGGGGTGAAGGGAGATTCCATTATGATGGAGAACACCGACGACTTGTACAACCTACAAGCTCGTCCAAAAAATAAACTTTTGATTTTTACCCAAGAGAAGATGACCTCTTTCTTGTAAAATCTCTCCAAGCACTCAATCTTTTCTCTCCTCAAGATCTCACTTTTTAGATCTAAAAAACTCTCTCTTTTTTATTGACGGCAGCCCCTCTTCTCTACTAAAAAACTTAGGAACGAATCCCTATTTATACCAAAGAAAACAGGTAAAAAAAATCGCCCGAAAGCCCATTGTTCGGATCCACACCCGCTTTGTCTTGGATCACCGCGAGACACTCTGAGGTGTCTCGAGTGGCGAGACACCTCATGGTGTCTCGTGGTGGTGAGACATCTTGGGTATCTCGCATGACTCAGGTGTCTCGCTCATAATTCTTCACCTCATACATCATTTGATAAACCTCAAATTTTGGACGAACACCAGAAGAACACCGTGAACATCACAAGATAGTTTTGAAACACCAAACCAAGACAAACTAGCTACACCATTATACCATGGCTGCCTACGTACCCTCTTATCGGGATCAAGCTAATCATAGTTCTGCATAGTCTCCATATAGTCTCTACTCCATATAGTCTCCATCTCACCCCATCACCGTCCCGAAGGGCCATGTCCTCTTAGGCAGATCAACATGGGCTGATATGAAGCAAGTCCAAGCAATGCTGAACTTGCTACTTGTCACCACTTTGGTCAACATGTTCACGTGATTTTCATTTGTGTGCACTTTCATGAGAGAAATATCACATTCCTCTATGACACCCCGCTCAAAATAATACTTGATGTCGATATGCTTGGTATGAACATGATGAACTTAATTCTTAGCCAAATGAATCATACTCTATAATGACCGTGAATTTTGATACTAGTTAAAATAATTTTATGGTATTTTAAAATAGTTAATTATTATTTTTTAAAATAGTATTTGTATTTTTCCCAAATTTCTAGAAATTTCTATGATTTAAAGTTCAAGTTTTATATTTATTTAAATAATTTTGATATTTATAAATTTATTTGGTGCAGTGAAAATTTATGGAATTAATCCGTTGTGTTATTGATACTATTACGTATCATTTTGAATAATACGTTGTATTATTTTTGCTATTACGTATTATTTCGTGTATTATGTTGAATTATTAATTACGTATTATTTGTATAAATTATTATATTATTTTAATTATTTCGTATCAGCTGTCGTATTAGTACAACTGATACGTTTATTATATAGATATAGATAGTTATTCCATAATTATTTGATTTTAAATGTAAGAAAATATATTTTTATTTTTAATTATTCTCGTTTAATTGTACAATATATGAATATTTTAACTATTTTGTATCAACTGTTGTATTAGCACAATATGTACGTTTTTAATTGTAGATAATTATTTCGTAATTAGTTTAACTTTTTTAAATACCGTATTTATTTATTTTAATTATTTTTGTTTTAAACCCTAACCCAAACCCTAATATATATATATATATACATATATATATATATATATGCAAAAGATACACATAGTCTCATGTCGCACATGCCTCGATGTGCGGATCGGTACTTGTCAAAAGTTAACTCGCAGGTATAGGTAAATCACTAACATTGTAAATTGGTGTCAAATAGTCGAGGCGAACTCTCAAACGTGTGAAAAGTATATAACAAAACCAACAGTACACAAAACTGTGCGGCGGTCGACCGTAGAGGTCACTCCGGTCGACCGCACATAGAGCACAAAACCACTGTGCTCAAAACTGAGCGGCGATCGACCGCAGAGGTCATGCCGGTCGACCGCTCAAAGAGGAGAAGTGATTCTGTTGGCAAAATCCCGGGATGGTCGACCGCTGAGTCCGTTGCGGTCGACCGCTAAGAGGATAGAATCTCAGTCTGGGTTTCTATCAGCTTCGAAACTCCTCCAAGCCCGACACCCCCTCGCCCCGTTGTCAATGACCCCTCCTGCTGACAGCAGCCCCGTAGCCATGCTGAGATCCCCACACCGTCGAACCCGTTGCCGATGTCACCGTCCAGCTCCACAAGTCAACCGTCGATCCGCTGCACGTGTCGTTGAACAACGAACAACAAGAAATGACGCCACCGCCTCGTCCGCAGGTTCCTTGGTCTCGTAGGCAAGATCCCTCTTGTTCATTAACTGTCATTTTAATTTTAGATCTGTGAATTTAATTATATGCATAGATAGACCGTATTACAATTATGTTGTATGTTGTGGTATATTATTACATGAGTGGGATTGTTTGATGAAGAATATTAAATATATCATAGTAATATGATAAATAGCATTTTTAGAATAATTATTATGAATTAAAAGAATTTATTTCGACAGCAAAATCATTTTTGGATAATTATATTAATTAAAAAGAATTTATTTAAGAACATAATCATTTAGAAAAATATAATAACTTAAAAGGAATTATTTTGGAAAAAGGATCATTTTTGATAATTATGATGATTTAAAGGAATTTATTTGCAAAAAGGATTATTTATTTTGGATTTTAGATTAATTTATGATTTTGTGTTGGTAGTTGTAGACTATGACATTTCATGTGTAAAACAATAACGAATTTTAGTTTTCTTTTAACCATAGTTATTTTTGATATTATTTTAGCTGTGTATAATTTTTATGAGTGGTTTTGAGATTCGAATAACAAGATATTAATAAAACCGGAATGCATGTATGTTTTACTGTTTATGATTGCATTTTATATTTTGCGTTCTATTTTAATGTATTTGCATAGAAGTAGTCATATTATTATTGTTCCTGGTTGTGTTTGAGAACCCTTGGTAGTTCATGACTTAGTGGCCTCGTGCGTCATGAACAGACTTAGTAACATGTGTGGGTGTGTTGACTGAGTTAGGTGGTGAACCAAAGTTTCAGTGTGGAATACGACTGTTGATTTAGAAAAACAAGATGAGTTGGGATGGGGAAGTTAATGTTCATGTGATCAAATAAGACTGTTGATGTATCTTCCAACTCGCGTCAGTGAATTCGTGTAGTCACTGGGGTTGGTTGTTGGGTTAAAGTGAATTTGTGTAGTCACTTTAGTCCCGTATCTGTTTCGTCACTTGAGCTTTACCTGAATTCGAACCAGGCCGAGATCAAATTGCGTGTAGTCCTCTAACCGATTCGTGTAGCCGTATTGGATGCGCGTAGAGGATTTGTGAGCAGTCAGTTATCTGGTGATATGAATGTTGACTTTATGTGAGATGTGGACCAGTGAGTTTTAGGATGACTAGTTACATGACCTCGTTTCTTAGCTAAGTATGAATTCATGTAAGATGTAGGTCAGTTGTATTTTTTTTCATACATAGATCAGGATTAATATTTAAATATCTACAATTTGAGACATATGATATATACATGAGGGTTTCCTTGTTTGGATTATTTTGCTCGACGTATTACGTCTCTTATTGTAGATTTTTAAGTATTAATTCTATCTAGTTGTATGATCATGTTAGTTGGTTGATTGTTCTGATCGCTAGTTGCATGATCGACTTGTTACTTGATTGATTTTGTTGGATTTCTAGTTGTACGTTTTCTTTGTCATTCAGTTATCGTATCGTTTTTCGCTTTGGTTTTTATTATTCTATTTGTTGCGGGTCTTGCCGTGTGCTATGCACGTTGACATACACCTATTTTCTCTGGTGTACGTCAGACTTAGAGGAAGAGGAGCCAGAGGATTCTCAGCAGGAGTACCCTGTAGACGGAGCAGAAGAAGGAGTCGAAGCATATTCTTTCCATTTATTAGTTGATGGTTCCATTTACTCTTGTAGTACTTCCCATTTTAGTTTGAATGATGTATTATATTTCTCTAGTATTCATTTATTCATTTTGTATAAGGGCATGTTGACCCGAATATTATGTCTTAGATGTTATCCCATTTGTGATATGATACCACAAGTTTACACAATCCTGCTCAATCCCCAAATTATCTAGAAGACCCCACAACCATAATGCTTCCTTCACTCCCTCTGTCATGACCATGTACTCAGCCTCTGTAGTAAAAAGTGTCACTGTAGTCTGTTGTAGACATCAAAAAATGCTTACAGACATTCAAACACCACTCAAGACGATATAGAAGAACAATATACACGTCATCAAGCAACATATGGCGGCGCGGCAGGACATGGTGCCGCGGCTAAGGCGCGGCAGGACATGGTGCCGCGGCTAAGGCGCGGCAGACCAAGGTGCCGCGGCTAAGGCGCGGCAGACCAAGGTACCGCGGCTAAGGCGCGGCAGCCTATGGTGTCGCGGCTTAACCGCTGCAACCTATGGTGCCGCGGCAGTTAAAGCAGGATGCTACAGCAGTTATAATACAGTTATCTGATGATTATTTAAAGTCCACGTGGCGGAGTATCAGAAATAGAACGTGTGCTGATGTG